GTAACAGCACCGGTAGCTTTGCCTAACATAGTGTCCTCACCGCCTAACGCACCCTTCACGCCACCCATCGTTTCCCTCAATCCGGCGCCGACACCACTACCCACGGCAGTACCGATAGCACCACTGATCCCACCTCCAGCAACAAAATTAACACCTTGGTCAATCAAACTTTCCTTGCCGTCTAAAACATCTGTCACACCACCCGTCAGTTTACTCACACCGGCACCGATACCACTGCCGATACCATCACCGATGGCACTACCGATACCGGCAATACCAGTAGCACCGGTATCACAGTGAGCGCTACCATTGGCACCTCCATGATTGTCAGCGCTAACTTCATGTACCGCAGCGGCACCGGCATGTATAGCGCCTGTAATTTAAATAAATATGAATAATTATTTTATGATCGTGATACTTTTGATAGTTATGGTAAATGTTAGACATACCGTTTGCTACGGCACCACCTATTAGGCCACCGGCCAATAAACCGCCACCGGCCAATAAAAGGCTACGGCGCTGTACCACTGCCCCTTCGCATAGTACTAGGGTTGCTACTAATACAATAAGTTTATACTTATACATAGTTTTAATGTATACACTATGTCAGTGAACAATGAATTTAAATCACAAAGCTACCATTCCTTTTATACTGACATTTAAGCGGAAATATTTTTTTATTGATTAATTAAGGTTGCCTTTATTTAAGTTAATTATTAAGTTACAAGTGATATGTGAAAGCTTAAATTATTTAATAATGAATGAATATTTAAAAAAGAAAATTTGCCATTGATAATAAATTTGATATAACTTATGGCAAGTTCATTTTGTGGGCATACGCACTATATGAACATATTTAATACAGTATTAAATTGTATATTAAATGCGATAGTTTATTATTAAAATGTTCAAACATATGATAATTTATAAATTAATTATAATATAAAACAATAATAAGATTATTATTCATTGTAGACCCGGAAATAAATGTCATTTAATTTAATAAATAATTACAATTTTAAATGCCCTTAACACAATTAACTAAAATATGTGTTTGATATATTATATTGTTTATATAAAATAAATATGTGTAGTCTAGACTCTAGATTAATTCACTAGTGTGTGCATGATTAATTATACCGGTAGTAGTAGTTACTTGTTGGGACTTCTATTATATCGTTAATTAAATATAAGTTTTCTTAATAATAAGCAAGGATATAATAAAATAGTCGTAAACAGCGATCAAAGACATGCCCGTGTACATGGATACCAGCCCACCCACGTAACACACCATGTCCAATATGGCAAACATAGGTGAATAGCTGTTGATTGTATGCTCGGTAGACGAGTATCTAATAGATACAACAGCCATGTTGTTCATTAGATCCGGTTCATTTGAATTCCAATCCTATATTTAAAATAATAATTTTAAATGGGTCAGTTCAAAAATTTAAGTTTTTCAAAAAAGTTAGAATTGTATAATTTATGTGTGTGTGTGTGTGTGTGTGTGAAGGGGTACAAAATACATAATCAAGGTCCACACAATGGGGAAAGTTTTCTGAATTATGTATGAATTTCAATTTGTACATTTGTGTCTAGGTTATTTTTATATGTAAAATAAATAGTTAATTTTTATTATTCAAAGAGTTCAAATTTAACAAACACATTATAGTATAGTGACTATATTATATTAATGTTGCTAAAAATAACATCGAAATTTCAAAAAATTATAATTTCAAAATTATTGTACATAAAATTTTAGTTTGCACTACTACAGTAGATTTATTTAATAAATTATATCAATTTATAATATACAAAACTTCAAAATATAAGATATTAATCAAAAACTTTGTATTAATAGTCCTTTACCGCACGGCCGTAGTACTCAAAGGGCAACTTCTGGACAGACAGCTCGTAGTTATCGGTCCAACACGAGGGTCGGCACTCAACCGCACACTTCATTTGGACCTTTTTGTCCCAACATACACCATAAAGGTTTGCCGCTATGATAGTGAACAATGGGCACAATTTTGATATACAATTATTAATTATAAGTAAGATTAGTGTAAATATTTGATATTTTAAAAATTCAAAAATTAAAAATTTATGTAATATAATAATTCTATTTACAGTATTTAGAAATCTTTTGGTTTTTAATAATTAAGTCATATTTGTTCAAGCTTAAATTATAAATTATTACGGCCAACAAACTTGTGAACTTATTCACAACAGTCCAATCAATAATATTACTAATAATAAATGTACCTGCTTGAAATCTCCATGCACACCATGATAAATTTCGATTGGCGTCCAAAGAATTGTTATTAACATATGCCAACTCCGGGGGCCAACACAGGCATCCATTTATCGTGTATTTAGATGTACAAATTGTTGCACATTGCTGATTTTTAAATAATTTATGAATCATCCGGTACCTATTACATAATATGCAAACCTTTCGCGATAAAGCAATGGATGCAAAATCCTGGGTTTGGTTCGCCAGTGTTTCGCCAATAGCCATATAATCGACACAATCGGTCGCGTATGGCGTTCGCAGCATTTTTGTCGATTTCCGGTTGATGTAGAACTGGTAGTAGTATCCGGGCTCCAGTACGTAGCTGTTGGACAGGGAGTTACCGATTTCCGTGTTGTCGTGTACGGATAACCGGCCGCTGACCGGCAACTCTCTGAGCGTGTATGTTGGGACAAAAAGGTCCAAATGAAGTGTGCGGTTGAGTGCCGACCCTCGTGTTGGACCGATAACTACGAGCTGTCTGTCCAGAAGTTGCCCTTTGAGTACTACGGCCGTGCGGT